AGTCGGTCGTTAATCTCTTTATTCATTAGATCTCTCGTACTCTGTTGTTAGTTGCTCTGTTTTCGAACTTCAAGCAAAGTTTCAGACTTTGCTCATCATTTTTTTTGGTTTTTTGGGGTAAAAGACAGACATTTCTGCGTTTGATGGCTTTGTAGGAAGACCAGATGTGTAGATCTAAGTAGTAGAACCAAATCCATAACTTTTTGTTTCCTTGTCCTTTCCACAAGTGTCACTTTGGTCAAACAACTGATTTAGACCATAAATTTCTTATGTCTCTTTGTCTTTCTGCTGACTACCTCACTGTTTCCGTCTAGTCCACACTATATATAGTGCGCTTACATATTGAATTTCACATGCTTGTTATTCTGTTTATGGATTCATGAAATTAACCTATATAGTATGTTTGACATTTTGGTGGATTCATGTTTCTTATAAGTTTTATTTTCTTGAGCCTTCTTTGAGTTGTACATTGATGGATTTGAATCTCTCAAGTTTGGCTAATTTTGAGCATCCTTTTGTTTACTGACAACTATCTGTTTGTTCTGATGCAGTGAGGAGAGGAATCTTGAAATGTCGGATCTTCAGGCACCGCTTGTAAGGCCCAAGAGAAAGAAGACATGGGTTGATTACTTTGTCCAGTTCCGATGGATCATTGTCATTTTCGTTGTCCTTCCAATCTCGGCCACACTTTACTTCCTCATTTACATTGGGGACATGTGGTCAGAGTCGAAATCCTATGAGAAACGCCGAAAGGAACACGACGAGAATGTCATGAAAGTCATCAAAAGGCTTAAGGAGAGGGATGCGGCTAAAGACGGGCTGGTCTGCACAGCTCGTAAGCCTTGGATCGCCGTGGGAATGAGGAACGTTGACTACAAGAGAGCCCGCCATTTCGAGGTTGACTTGGGCGATTTCCGTAACATCCTTGAGATCAACAAGGAGCAGATGTTTGCTAGAGTGGAGCCTCTTGTCAACATGGGACAGATTTCCCGTGCCACCGTCCCAATGAACCTGTCTCTCGCTGTTGTTGCTGAGCTAGATGATCTCACTGTTGGTGGACTCATCAATGGATATGGTATTGAAGGAAGCTCTCACCTCTATGGTTTGTTTGCGGATACCGTTGAGGCCTACGAGATCGTTCTAGCAGGCGGGGAACTTGTCCGTGCCACAAAGGATAATGAGTATTCCGATCTTTTCTATGCAATCCCGTGGTCACAAGGAACGCTCGGACTCCTTGTTGCTGCTCAGATCAAGCTTATTCCAGTTAAGGAGTACATGAGGCTCACTTACATACCAGTCAAAGGCGATCTACAAACCTTGGCTCAAGGTTACATGGATTCTTTCGCACCCAAAGACGGTGACAAGTCTAAGGTCCCGGATTTCGTCGAAGGCATGGTGTACAACCCAACTGAAGGTGTCATGATGGTTGGAACATACGCATCTAAAGAAGAGGCAAAGAAGAAAGGGAACAAAATCAACAATGTGGGATGGTGGTTCAAGCCATGGTTCTACCAACACGCTCAGACCGCGCTGAAAAAGGGACAGTTTGTTGAGTACATCCCGACTCGTGAATACTACCACAGGCACACAAGGTGCTTGTACTGGGAAGGGAAGCTTATTCTTCCATTTGGTGATCAGTTCTGGTTTAGGTTCCTCCTTGGTTGGTTGATGCCTCCAAAGGTTTCTCTTCTTAAGGCCACTCAAGGTGAAGCTATCAGGAACTATTACCATGATATGCATGTTATTCAGGACATGCTTGTTCCCCTTTACAAGGTTGGCGATGCCCTCGAATGGGTCCACCGCGAAATGGAGGTAAAGTAAAAGCTCTTTTTCATGATTGATCATCCTGTTGGCTAAAGA